GCATTACGGTCGAAAATTTCACGGTAATGAAATTTGTTTGTGTTGTGATCAAAAGTTTAAACGTTTAGTATATTCAAACACCAACACAGATGAGCTACTTTTCGAATAATAATATTAATAAAGTAATAATATAATAATAATAATAATAATAATAATAATAATAATAATAATAATAATAATAAAAGTAATAATAATAATAATAATAGTAATAATAATAATAATAATAATAATAATAATAATAATAATTCGGTGATTCAGTATGAATCAGTTAGATCTCCATATATTTACAACCATCCATTGTAATGAAGATGATATACCGGTATGTTATATATATATGTTAAAAGGTTCCAATACCGTAGTCAAAAAAGACTTACCAAAATTTATAATGATATATAATAATATTTTCATGGCGAAGTAATAATGCATTTAATGCTTGCAGCACAATACGCAAACAGTTATGAACAAAGAAAAAAAACACTGTTGTTTGTTGGTAATGTCTTGAAGTTTGGATTGAGTTGCTTCAGTATAAATCACCATTGTCATCTATAATAATATATTGGTATGGGATAATGCCTACAATAATAATAAATCTGTGATATATATTAAGAATACTAAAAATTAGAAACGAAAATAACAATAATAATAATAATAATAATAATAGTAATAATATTAATAAAGTAATAATATAATAATAATAATAATAATAATAATAATTAAAATAATAATAATAATAATAATAAAAGTAATAATAATAATAATAATAGCAATAATAATAATAATAATAATAATAATAATAATAATATTAATAATAATAATAATTCGGTGATTCAGTATGAATCAGTTAGATCTCCATATATTTACAACCATCCATTGTAATGAAGATGATATACCGGTATGTTATATATATATGTTAAAAGGTTCCAATACCGTAGTCAAAAAAGACTTACCAAAATTTATAATGATATATAATTATATTTTCATGGCGAAGTAATAATGCATTTAATGCTTGCAGCACAATACGTAAACAGTTATGAACAAAGAAAAAAAACACTGTTGTTTGTTGGTAATGTCTTGAAGTTTGGATTGAGTTGCTTCAATCGTCTTCAGGAGAATAAAATATAGTAACAGCAGCGACGACGACGACAATCTTTGAAAATATTGACTCAAAGATTGTTCGGAGTGGTAGACTAAGGGCGCCGGCAGCGCGCGCATGCCGCTATTTTTTCTAATTCGTTTCCTAAGGTGTTAGAGCTTTTAACAAAACTTTTAAAAGATGAATTATGATAATAATGATGATGAAAATGAAAAATGATAGTAACAGTTATAATAATAATAATAATAATAATAATAATAATAATAATAATAATAATAATAATAATAATAAAAGTAATAATAATATTGAAAAATAATAATAATGCTTTGGTGACTTATAATGTTTTAATGGTCGTTGTTTGACATCTCTTTTACATTGTAATTTTTATATTTTACTATATTTGATCATTCTTCTGTTTGACTGTCAATTATATTTTAATGTGAGATTACTGAATTTCCGACTTGGAGCAATAAAGTTTATCTTATTTTATCTTATCTTATGACAACGACAGCGATAACAATAATAATAATAATAATAATAATAATAATAATAATAATAATAATAATAATAATAATAATAATAATAAAACTAAAAATAATAATAATGTGACTTACTATGTCTGTTTGAACATCAGATAGGGCTTTTCTCCACTTCTTTAATGAGAAATGAAGTTGAAATTGCAACAAATAGAAAAGTCGTTAAAGGGTATAAAGTGAAAATAACACGGAAAACCAATATAATTTTAATGAAGTGGAAAAACATGAAGTGGAAAAAAAAAAACGAAAACCAAGTTCACTTCAACGTTATTACTGAGACTTGAACTATGGCTGCAATGATAATATCGAGGTACATCGTGACCCATAACCATTTTCAGTTCATAGCAATTCAATGACTGAAAGCATTATTGTTCATACATATCACAGTAGTTTTGAGTTTAACCTAGCAGTAACTCGTTTAAGCGCTTTAGAAAACGCATATTGCGTTTAAATAATGTATTCAACTGTCATCAAAAAATCTTTAAATGGTCCTCATATCCACACCCTACTGTGGATCGTCACCAAAATTGGATCATTTATTCATTTCACCATGAAAAACTATTCTGCAAAGTGTCATGTTTATCAATCTATAACTGGGACGTAAAAATGACTCTCAAATTTACATCCTAACCTGGATCGTCCCCTACATATAGTAATCTTTCTTGTAACTTGGGTTAAAGTTTCCCGAAAGTTTAGTTCAGTTGACCCATTCTTTAAATATCTGGTATGAACGTTTTCCTTTAAATGGTCCTCATTCACAGCCTACACTGGATCATCACAAAAAGTTAGTCATTTCTTTACTAGACCTTTACAAACTATTATAGAAAGTTACATTTACACCCATTGAAAACTTTTTATAGATATTTACGTCTGGGATCTAAAAAAATAAATGACCCTCCAATGTAGGTAGCCGATCATTTCGGTCGCGCTTCGTTTCGGTCGCGCTTTGTTTCGGTCGCGCTTCGTTTCGGTCGCGGTATATTTCGAACAAATATATGGAGCGCCGAAGGAGTTGCGAAAACGAAAAATTTAATATGTCTAGGCCCTATATATTTTAGTTCGTGAATCGGTTTATCATAGGTCTAAATATTATTGTTTTGCTATCTTTCTGCTATACTCTCTTTCTTCCATTTATGGTGATATATTCATGATTGCAACATGATCTTGTAATTGAAACAATGGAATTTAGTATGTGCTTCATGCTATTCTTTTTGTTGCGTTTTCATATACTATACTTTAATAAATGGTCAATAAAATGTATCTTTGATTTTAATTGAATTGAATATTGTTACCATCTGAAATCTATTTCATAATGTAGTTAAAACAATAATCATTCAATATTTAAGCTGATCATTTTATACAATATATTTATTTTTCTTGCAGCTTCAAGAGTTTGGATAAAAAATACCAAGAGAATTGAAGGAAACACGAAGAAATAAACGAATAATATGCACATTATCATTCACTTGAAATCTTGAATACCCCTGCGCAGTATGGGGTATATGAAGATATATTTATATATGATTTTATCATATTGTATATACCTTGAA